GTCGATATCAGCCGGGAGGGGAGAAACGCGCATTGGATGGGGTAATCTCCATGAGGGTGCCACAAAGCTGGGGGGGGGGAGGGGGGGGTACTCATAGTCGTGCATGCCGTAGTCGTTAGACCATTGGCCTCGCATTCCTACAAAGACGGGACGGAGCACGCCGGGTTCTCACCGGACCAGGCTCTCACATCACCAAGCGCGAAGCGCCGTGAGGTATTCGGCGAGTCGCATGAAGGGTGCGCTGCATCCTGCTAAGGGTGTTCGGAATCTTGTGCTTACTTCAGTGGATACGGTTGACAGCTGCGTATGACTCAATTTATTTTCTGGTGCTTTCACTTCCAGAGACAGTTATAAGCACTGTGTAACTGCCTCGAGGGTGCTTGACCAATTTAACACAACGTGGTGCGATAATCCCCTTTGCGCGGAGTGAGGGTTCTCGACCCCGCACAACATAATCTACTCCACCATCATTCATGGTCACCGCAAAAAAAAATAAACCAAAGGCAAAAACCAGCGGTACCCTGGTTGCCGAGCTCACGAAGTGATCGGCTTGTTTTACAACATCGCTGCCAAGCGACGTCACCGCAAAAAAAAAAAGCCACAAAGGCAAAAAAACAGCGGTACTCTGGTTGCCGAGCTCACGAAGTGATCGGCTTGTTTTACATCATCGCTGCCAAGCGACGAAAACCCAACCCCGATGGCAAACACCGGCGGGGGCGGCTTGTTTTACAACGTCGTTGCCAAGCGCGAAAACCCAACCCCAAGCTGGGAGGGGGGGGAGGGGTTGAGGGGGTTCCGTGATATGGGGGTCGCGAGTTCAGCAGCGAGGAGGAGGGAAGTACTCATGTTTTGCATGCCTTAGCTGCTAGACCAATACCGGACCCACGCGGCCGGACAGCCCCCACAAGGCTACACAGCTGCAGCAGCAGCAGCAACTACAACAACAACAGCAACAGCAGCAACAACGACGAATCAAACAAAAACGAGCAGCTGCCACGAACCTGCTCCACCGGACCCACGGGGCCGGACAGCCCCCACAAGGCTACATCGCTGCAGCAGCAGCAGCAGCAGCAACAGCAGCAACAACAACGAAACAAACAAAAACGAGCAGCCGCCACGAACCTGCTCCACCGGACCCACGCGGCCGGACAGCCCCCACCCCACCAGAGCCGACTGCAGCAGCCTCTCGGCGAAGAACGACCACACGACGACCTTGAGCACGCCCTCCAGTAGCTCTCTCTTGACAGCTCTCTTCCACAACGACCGCAAGAACCGTCGCAAGCCATCGCCGCCTTGTTGCAGAATACAGCGGTTCGGGTGCATACCCGGTACATATACACACGCGCGCGTCCGGGTGGGGGGGGGGGGGGGGGGGGGGTTCCAAAGCCGGCCTGCCCAAATCCTTTGGCCCTTTACCCCCCCTCCCCCCAAAAAAGGGGCGGAACCCCCCCGGGTTCCCCCCGGCCCGGGTTTTTCCCGGGGGGGGGGGGGGGGGGGGGGGGGGGGTTTTCCTTTCAAAAAGGGGGGCCCCAAAAAAAGGGGGCCCCTTTGTGGGGGTTCCCGGGGGGGGGGGGGCCCCGAAAAACCCGGGGCAAAATTTCCCCGGGGGGAAAAACCCGGGGGAAAAGAGAAAAAAATTTTCCCTTCCCCCCCCCCCCCCCCCCAAAATTTTTTGAAAAAACCCCCCCAAAAATCCCCCCCTTTTTTTAAAAAAAAAAGGTTTGGGGGGGGGGGGTTCCCCGAAAAAAAACCCCCCCCGGGGGAAACGGTTTTTTAAAACCACCCCAACGGGGGACCCCCCGTTTTCCTTTTCCCCAAAAG